GAAGCTCAAATCCTTTGGCCACCTAATGAGAAGGAAGGACTCCCTGGAGAAGAGCCTGATGCTGGGAACAATTGACGGCAAAAGGAGAAGGGGGCGGCAGAGGATGAGGTGGCTGGATGGGGTCACTGGGGAGGTGGCTGTGGGGCTGGGTGGACTCCAGGGGATGGTGGAGGACAGGAAGGCCTGGAGGAATATCCACGGGGTCGCAATGGGTCGGACATGACTTCGCAACTAACAACAGGGGACGGAAGGTCTCAGAGGCAGAGGGGGCCCATCTTTGCTCCACATACATCTTTGTTTGTTTATGTATTTGATTAAAGGATTTAGAGACCATCCCTCCCCGGGTCCCTGTCAGGCAGACTGCAAGCACAAGGCGCCTGCACGGCCGAGGGAGGCCCAGACGGTTGCCAAGAGCACTTCCCGTGCTCTGAGAAGCCAGGATTTCAGGACAGCTGACCGGATCCGGGCTTCTGCTGCCTTATTTTCATGCTTGGGCTTCATGATTAAACCAACTGGTTTAGGTAACGGGTAGGTGCCTAGTCTCCTCTCCTGGGGAGGCGGTGGGGCTTGGTCTGCCAGCCCTGGGGCCAGTTGCCCAGGAAAGGTTCTGGGACTGGAGCAGAGGGGCGGGTAAGCAAGACTCCGGCTGCCGGCTGAGCCGTGGGCCTCTTTGGCCAGCGGAAGGTCCCAGCTCCAAACACCTGGCAGCTTCAGTTACGAAGACAAGAAGCGCCCAGGGAGTGGATCAGGTCCAAGGAGGCCCTGTTTGCACCAGGCTGGCCAGCTGCCCCAGTGAAAAGCCCACAGGCACACCGGGGGGGGGCAACTGTGCCCCCACACCTTTGGTGGATCAGGGAGCAAGCGGGCCATGGGAAGCTTCCTGCGCTGGACACCCCACAGAGCAGACCCCACCGGGGGAGATGGGCAAAACTCGCCTCCTGGTATCCCGATTAACAAGCCAGCTGAAAGTGGGCTCGGCGGAACAACCATCGGGTGGATCCACGGCTGGGGAGAGAACCGGACTCAAAGGGCGCTCGCCAATGGTGCCTTCTGCAACTGGGGAGAGGTGACGGGGCGGGGGGGGGGGGTGCCGCAGGGGTTCAGTCCTGGCCCAGTGCTCTTCAGTATCTTGATTAATGATTTCGACGGGGACGTGCAGGGAACAATGATCAGATCTGCAGGCGACACAAAACTGGGCGAGGCAGCCAAGACCCTGGAAGGCAGCGCGCAGATCCACTCTTCAGTGAGACTGATCTGCCAGGCGGCAGCTGTGCCGCAAACAGCAGAGTGAATTCAACAGGGCAAACGCTAACCCTGCGCCGAGGGAGAAGAAGCAAAGGCATCAAAACAAGATGGGGAATCCTTGGCTCAGCCAGACTGCGAGTGAGACGGACCGTGGAACGGCTGCAGGTCGCAAGCAGGATATGAGTCAGCAGCGCGATGTGGTTGCAAAGCGGGCAACTGCTATTTCGGGCGGCATTAATGAAGGTGCCACTAGCAACTCACGCGAAGAGCTGGTTCACTTCTGCCCAGCACTGCCTGGGCCTCATCTGGAGTCCTGTGCCCAGCTCGGAAAAATGCAGACAAGCTGAAAAGGGTGCGGAGGAGAGCAAGGAAAATGATCTAGGGATGGGAAACGGAGCTCCAAGAGGAGAGACTGGGAGAGCCAGGCATGTTCGTCTCAAGAAGAGGAAGTGGAGGGGGATAGGACGGCACTCTGCAGGTCGGGCAGCCTTGGTGCACAGCAGGCTAAACAGTCGCCCCACTTTTCAGACTGAAACAATGGGGACGTTTCAACGACGTTTGCCTCCCTTTCTAGAGAAAGCCAGAAGAGTCCAGAGGAGAGGAAGGCAGGTGCCAACCCCTCAGTGGCAGCTTCCTGGAACCACCAAAAGTGCCCGTTGGCGGTTGGGAGCTTTGCAAGAAGCACCTAGTCCAGCGAGGCTCCTGCAGGGCCAGAGCCGGCCACGGAGAGGGCGCCTGCCCACCGGGCTCCATGCAGGGTGGGAGAAAGGGTGCACAAGCCGGGAAGCCACCAAGCCACCGCAGGGGGCCCTCTGCAAGGACCAAGGGCCAGTGCCGGCTCCTGGCCCCCTGCCCCCGCTGAAATGCCCCGGCCAGAGGCGCTCGCATCGCCTCCCGCAGCCGGACGCACTGAGCGCTGCCACAGCCGCGGCGCCACTCGCCATAACCACAGCCCGAGCCTGGAGGGAAGCGCACGATGGAGACGCCCCAGGGTCAGGCCGAGCTTTGCCATGGGGGCTTCCCAACGGATATGACCACACTGCGCCCTCCTCTCGCGCAAGCTGCCACGATGGGCCGGGCGGAGAGAGGGACGCTGCCACTTCCAGAGACCTTAAAGCTCGACTCTCTATCCCAAGGTGCTGCTGGAGGGCACCAAAGTTCAGAGAGTCAGGCGGGACTCGGATCTTTGAGATATGGCAAGCAAGTTTCTAGGCCTCAGCCTCTCCTTCATAACACGGGAAGGCGCACTGCATGTACCCACTGGGGAGAGGCCCTTGTGACACAGCGACAGCCAAGACATGTTGCTCCAGCAGAAGGACCGTTCCTCTGACTTTGCCCGGGTGTCACCCCACACGGCACCCTCACGGCACCCCTCCGCCAGCAGCGCCCGGCCCAGTCTCCTCTCCGCAGAGGCATCCCGAACGGCGGGAGGGCTGCCAAGCCGCCCGCCTGCCCGCTCCAGCCCCACAAGCCTGCCCAGGCAGCAGGCGCGGGGCGTGTGGACCCGGCTGCCTCGTAGCGGGCCAGCCCACCCTCCACGACCCCTGCCACACGCGGAGACGCTCAGAGGTCCTCCTGCCTCACGCACGGCACGCCTGGCCGAGAGGACCGCAAGTCTCTCCACGCTGCTCCAGTCGCAGCCGGACATCCCAGGCGAGGCACTCCTGCCACAGGCCGGCCCACGCCAGACAGTGCAGGTGGGAAGCTGGCGGGACCCAGTCCAGCAGCCGCAAGCCTGCCTGGCGTGAGCCCCCCCCCCCCGCCCTCGCTCTTGGCAGCCCTCCCCGAGCAGTCCACTGCCGAGCCCCGATGCTGCGCCAGGTAGGAAGTGCCACTGCTGTGCCAGGTAGGAAGCGCCACTGCGGCCGAGCCCAGGTGAGCACAGGTGCATCTCACCTGCCGGCCCAGCCAGGCAGGAGGCGCTCTGAGCCAACCGGCACGGTGCGGTGTGCCCACTGGCTGTGTCTGGTCAGCACACGCCTGCTGGGGCCACGGGAGCTGCGCAGAAGGTATGAGACCGGGGGAGGCTGACAGCTGTCCTTGCTGCCCTCCTGCCCAGGAACAGCCATCATCCGGGGTGGGGGGGAGGAAAAGAACACGCCGTGGGCCCCAGAAAGTCCCATCCAGAGGAGGAACGGCAGGTGAGGTACAACACCTCTGTTCACCCACCCGCGGTGCCCGGAGAGAGAAGGCAGCAAGATCAGGACCTCCAGCCCCCCCGCGTCCCCCGGAGCAGCTGCAGGGGGGAGCCCGTGGGAGGTGGGCGCCCAGCTCCAAGCCACAAGGGCACCACCAAAGCTGGAGGAGGGGAGGCCCGGCCCACCCC